GACGACAAAGTTAGCAACCTGAAACAGACAATTTTCTTCATTACCATCAGCAAACACTTCTTGAGCAAGAGAGAACAAAAGGCATCAACCATGGGTCCTAACAACATTGAGTTTACAGCCCATAACTACACGGTGAAGCATGCAAAAGCATTTGAACAGACATGAAACCACATTTTCCCTTTTAGTTCAGGCTTCTCCAGTTGCCTACTTTTAACAATGTATGCATTTTTCCCTCTATAGAAGGAAGCCAGGAAGAAGAAAAAAAAGAGGAAGGAAGGAGAGAAAGGAGGAGGGAAGGAAGGACAAAGAGATCCGGGTGTCTGACTTGTCTAGCTGATACTAGAAGAATCCAAAATATATAAGAATAAATGAGGATTCTTTTCTTCATGCTGAATAAAATGTTCTGCAGTCAAGTAGTCACTGTATCTTAAGAGGCACCATTTGGTTCACTGCTGAACAGCCTCCCCCTCCAAATATGTTTGATGACCTGTGTGGTCCAACTCCTACCCCCACAGAACTGAGAGACAGTTTATACTACACCACATATTTATGCTTCCATTCACAAAGAGAACATTTGGAGAAAAAAAAAACTTAAACACACATTACTGGAAATACAGCACAACTAAAGGCACCAGTATTATTTAAAAAAAAGAATTTTCTGTAAATAATACGCATTTCAACTCTAACATATAACTTAGAAAGTAAATTTCTTAATGTACTTGTTTTCTTACTTAAGGCTTTTACAAGAATCCAAGTTCTAAAAAACTGACCAATAATCTACTTTCCTTAGATTATACTTCACCTCTTTTATTACCTAAATTGTCAGGTAGTATACATGAGAGATTATGTACTCGTATGCTGCTTCATTTTCTGTCACCTTAAAAGTATTCTTTTCTCTAATATCGCTACTAAACCATCTTTCTGGATGATAATCCAAGTTTTATCTACCCAGAGGTGCAAGAGAACTGGAAGATTTGGGAGAATGTACTTTCCCATGTAACAGGGTGGTAACCCACAACATGAGGCTTCCAGACCTTAAGAGGTGGACTACATGTAATACTATGGCTTTGACCCTGACCTCACCTTCTAAACTTCCTGTCCCCTTTACTAGGCACTCTTAATCATTAACTCTTAATCACTTTCTGTTTCATAAGGATTTATCACTATTCAAAAGTATCTCATTTGTTTACTGTCTGATCCCCCATAAGAATATAATCTCCAGAGAGCTGGGCTTTCTTATGTCTTGTTGATTCAACCCCTGCTTCCAGAATAATACCTGGCTTGTACAAAATACTCGACAAATACATACTGAATTATAACTTGTTACAATATTCGAAAGAATTGCAACGTAATGTGTAATGATCAATGATGTCATTTATAATTGATCAATGATCAATAAAACAACTAGTAAAATCTTGGGGTCCTTGTTTATGATTGTAGAGAAAAAGCAAGAGGAAAAACACACCTGCTCATCCACTCTTGCTAAATTAGACATGAAAAAAAATGGACAGCTAAGTGAAGGTTTTTAAGAAAAATTAATATTATTAATTTTTGAGACAACTAATGAAAACAGAAGTTCCTCTTTCTTTATACACTAAATTGCTGATCAACTTACTGAGTGAGGATACCCTTCAGCCATTATCTAAGCGCTGCATTCAGACTCAAGAAAGGATAATTTTGGTGAAGAGCGCGACGATTTTTACAAAGGAGTGATGATTTTTACGAAAGGAGTAAGCCGGTGCTATCATAAGCAAACACAAAGCCCGGGGGGGTAATGGTCCTCTAACAAATGTTCTTACGAAGTTGAGCCACTGCCATTTCCCTTCCCCAAAGTGCGTGGACAACTTCAGTTTAATGCTAGTATCCTTCAGTCAAGCAGCGAGTGTCAGGCTGTGACAGAATCGACTTCATTTAAAGGGGTTATGAGACAGAAGCTCGGAGGCAGAGAAAGTAGTGGTCTGGCGCTAAGGAAGTGACTAAAATACTGTTCTTTCCTCTCTTTCCTAAGCACCGCCCTTACTGTCCCATGCCTCACCGAGGAAAGCTTTCTTTTGTTGCACCCTACAGTGATTTCTGGCACCCTCTTTCTAAATCACAGAAACTGGCCGGGACTGCTTACTTCTCAACATGGTGGAGACAGGATGTTGTGATAGAAGGCGCACACAGGTTTGGGTGTGAGGGTAGGTGAATGACCTGGGTCAAGTTAGTGTCTCTGGGCCAAGTTCCCCACAGAGAACGGTTGCAAGAACCACCTACAACGACTAATACCGGGTGCAGCGCCTGCGTACAGGGAACGCCGTGCTCCCCTTTCTTCCACTCACCAACTGCAGAGCAGCATCGAAGAATGGGGATGCTTTTTCAACTAGCAAGGTTGTGGCCGAGGATGGTTGTGGAGCGACTACACCACCTAATACGGTCCACCTCGGCCAGCCCCCCCGATCCCCGAGCCCGCCCCCCGCGGGGGCCGAGGGAGCGCTCAGGTCCTACCGCGGGGCGGGCAACCCCAGCCGCGTCTCTCTCGAGCTTTCAGCTTCAAGGCGGGGAGCCCGGCTGGAGAGGAGCGGCCCCGCCGCCACCACTGGGTCTCCGACAGCAGGCAGCTGGCACCGGAAGCGGGGAGGGCCGGCCCGAGGCCCCCGGGCGCGAGGCGGGAGGAAACCCGTACTTACCCCGGGCTGGCGGCTGGCGGCCGCGGCTAGGCGTCTCCAGGCGGCGGCGAAGTCGGGCGGCGGGGCTCGGGGGCTCCGGAAGACGAGGGAGAACAGGGTCCCCAGCAGGAAGGCGGCCGCGGCGCAGCCCAGGTACAAGCTGAGCCTGAGCAGGACGGTGCACGGCCCCGCGCCTCCTGCCCCCTGCCAGTAGCCGGGCCCCAGGTAGGAGAGGGACACAGCGGCGAGTACGGCCACGACCACTGGCACCCGCCGGCTCCCGCCGCCAGGCGGTCCCCTTGGGGCCGCCGCATCATCCCTGAGCTCCGGCCGCCGCTCACCCGGGGCTCCCACGGTCGGCGCGGGGCCGAGGCCGGCGCCGCTGCTGTCGGTGGCATCGGGGTGCATGCTGCTTCCTGTGCCGCTAAGGACAGGCACATCTCCTGCCCTGCTGTCCCCCGGCGATGCCCTGGACGGTGGCCTCTGCGCGGCGCCTCCTCCCCTCGCCGCTCCCGCCGCCGCCGCTCGGGAGGCAGAGGGAGTCCGCGCTCATGCCCTCGCCGGCGGCACACCGAGGGAACGGCTCCAACAGACGCCGCTGAATTCTTCTGGGCGACCCCTCAGCGCCGCCACCCGGCGCCGGGCCCGCAGCTGCCCGGCCCGGCGCGCCCAGGTAGCCGGGCAGTGTTATGACTTAAGCGGACCAAGCCCGAGGCGGGGCGGGGAGGGGGCGGGGGCGGGGGCGGCCCTGAAGTGCGTGTCAGGCTGGGGGTGGAGAGCAACCACGGCCCGCTGAGTGACAGCTGGGAGGGGCCCGACTCCGCCCGCCACGGCCGCCCTCCGCGGGGAGGGGGGAGGGTCCGACCCACCTCTGCCCCACCAGGGAGAGGGCGAAACCAAGGGCTGCGAAAACTGCTCTGTCCAGTGTCTCCGGGTCCCTCCAGGACACCGTCTGTTGATGGAAAATTTTGCTGCAGGTGTCAGAAGCATTTGTAATTCTCTAGCTCAGGTGATTCCTTAAATCCTCGCTCTACGCTCATCTTTGACAACCTCCTCGCAGGCTTACAGCCTCTCCCAAATTCTGCCTTGTTTTCACCTGCTATTTAAATAGGCAACCATACCTGATCTTCACTTTTAACACAGTTCCCTCAACAACCTTCCCTTTCCCATCCGGCCGCCTCAGGGAAGGAAATCAGACAAACGTGGAGTAAATGAAGCCTGCATTTCCTAGTTGTGCTAAGGCCCAAGAAGTGGGACTGGTGCCAGACGGTGTACCAGCTGCCATCATCACTTCCGCTCCAAGTCCCTACATTTTTGTTGCCAACGATTCAGTATAAATGCTATTGCCCACACAAGTGAAAGTGGTCCAAATAATTTTTAGAGTACGTACTTATTTTCCTCTTCTATCACGGTCCCAGGGTTAAAATACAGATAAGGCTTACTGAGAAGATGCTAATATGCTAGCTCAATACTAACAATTACTATCACGACCAATAATAAAGCAGATGTATCTTTAATGGCTAAAGGAATTCTAAAACAAATAAGGAATTCTAAAGAGATTGATGATTATTTAAAAGGGGGGGGGAGGGTTGTAAGAGTAGAGAGGGCAAATCCAGAACAGAAAGGGGAAGAAAAGGAAGGAGGTAAATAGATGGGAGAAGCAGTGAGAAATAAATAAGGAAATGGGAAACATTTTTAAGCAAAATCCCAGAACTCTTTCCATGCAACCATTCAACCATCGTGAGCAATGTCAACTGAAAAGGGCTATTGTTTTCCAATAAATTGAATTATATCCTGCTTCCCAGGAAGCATAGTTAAGAAAAATAAGCATTAAAATGTTTTTATATACTATGACTATAGTGTTTTTCTATAAGGAATCATCTGTCATTTCAACAAAGAAAAAAATACAACATTCATGTGAATTAAACTAAAATATTTAGTGGATATTTATTCTTTTAAAACAAAATATTATCCAAGAGGTTATTATTCAACAAAAAAGAGAAACACTGGTGTCCATAGACATATACCCATGAATTCATGTCTTCATAATTAATTTCCCTGGAATGGCATAGATTCAAGTGTGAAATAAGTCTAAAAAAATTATCCCTAAACATTTAGCACTAACGAAACAGCATAGATATGAATTATTTTATTTATCTATATAAAAACAAGTGCATTTACTTTTGTCATTTTTAAAAAGCTTTTGACTTTAATTAGTATTCATGGGACACTTTATTCTTATATCTTGTAAGTCAAAGACAATGAGTGCCTTATGCAAGATACGACCTTGCCATGTCTAGGTGATGCCATCAAAAAAGTTACTACTTTCCTGTTCTCCTTGCCTTTCTTCCCCTCCCCCCGCCACCTTTTAAAAATAAAGCAGTGTAACTAATTTTGAAGGAACCCTTTTGCCTCTAAAATAGTTAAAATTCATCGCACTGGGGCTCCTCAAAGTATATCCTACTAATCCACATTATTTCAAATAAAACATGGTAGCTTGTTATTAACAACAATCGTATCTATATTTCTTGATCATTTACATGCCAAGGTCTGTGTGCTAAGGGCTATATATACACTTTCCAATTTAAACCATAGCTGAGAATAATAACTAATTGAACACTTACTATGTGCCAGATACTGTTCTAAGCACTGGACAGACTTCATCTAATCTTCACAATACCCCTGATAATGCTATCTCTAACTACAAAAGGCACAGACGGTATAATACTTGCTCAATATTACAAAGCCAACAAATATCAGTACTGGGACTTGATAATCACCCCATGTGGTCTGGCTTTAGAGCCTGTGCATTTGATCACTTTGCCATTGTGCTTCCTAAAAACTCTGTCATTTAATCATCCCATACTACAGAGGAGAAAATCCATGAGCTTGAGATCTGTATTCTATGCTTAAGTGTTCAGTTTTGTTGCTTTGTGAGTATAGCTGGTACCTTAAACAGCACCATGACAAGTGTTAAGTGACTGTGACTTAACCAGTAATGGAGAAACTGGTTTTTTATTGAGATCCTTGGTCTGCAACTCAAGACCATGATCTTTCCAACACACCTGTATATTGTTCCCAAAAATAATGCAGATCTGGAGAAACGTATACTTATGGTCAGAAAACTTCTTAAAGCATAAGTCCTTTTGCTAAGCCAGCATTGACACTTCAAACATCTCCTTAACAAGTAGTAGTTGGGCCTGTACCCTAGGAAAGGTCTGAGGAACACTGAGAGGTGAGGTAAGATAAGGGGATACAAGGCAGTGACTAGGATGGAACTACTGAGGGAGATGAGGCTGGAAGTCAGGTATTAAATTAGAATCCAGGTATTCCTTCCCAGAAGTCGCTGTTGAGTCCTCCCAGGTCTAAGGTTAAAGAGCAAATTAAGCAGGGATGCCTTATTTATATTCCTTAAAGCTAGCACAGGCTATAACAATGCTCCCATAGGCTGTCTTCATTTTCTTATGTAAGATGGGAATGACAGCTGCCTTAACTCATTAGGATATAAGACAAATTAAGTGGAAACAATGTGACATTTAAAATATTAAGCAGTGTAAATAGGGAGACAACACGTGATCGCTGCCAAAATAATACATCTTCCTCTTCACAAGTTAGTATATTTCTCCTTCAAGCCCCTGATCCATCTTAGAGGTACCCACAGGATTAGAGAGAAAACCACAGTATTTGCCCTTGACCACTTTAAGGAAAATTAGAATAAATATATTAATGTTGAGTCAAAAGACCTGGATATTCTATTTTCTTCTATTGAATTCACTGTAAGACCCTAACGGGTTGGTTAATCCCTCTTTCTTGTAAATTATCCAGCAGAGTGTGGGTTACAAAAAATATTGATATAAGCATGGCCAAACTTCAAAAATATAAAAATCATAAAATACTTTACAAATAGACTGCTAAAGCTTAAAGAAAATGTACTGCAGCATTTCTAAGAGGAAGATGAATCTCTGAACAAAATTTTAGAACATACAAATTTTGCTGAGTGAGGTTCCATGTGAGTACAGCCATAACTCATTTTATTGCACTTTTGTGATCAGTGATCTTTGATGTTACTTTTGTAATGTTTTAGGGCACCATGAACCACACCCATATAAGATAGCCACATTTTTAAATAAATGTGTTCTGACTGGCCATTCCTCTCTCCCCACCCCGCAGCTTCACTATTTTCTCAGACACAACAATACTGACATCTGGCCAATTAATAACCCTACAATGGCCTCTAAGTGTTCAAGTGAAGAGTCGCATGTTTTCACTTAAAATAAAAAGCTAGAAATAATTAAGCTTAGTGAGGAAGGCATGTAAAGCTGAGACAGGCCAAAAGCTAGGCCTCTTAAACCAAACAGCCAAACTGTGAATGCAAAGGAAAAGTCCTTGAAGAAAATAAAAAGTGCTACTCCAGTGAACACATGAATGATAAGAAAACAAAACAGCCTTATTGCTGATACAGAGAAAGTTTTTTGACAGTCTTGATAGAAGATCAAGCCAAATTCCCTTAACCTAAAACCTAACAAGGCCCTAACTCTCTTCAATCCTATAAAAGCTGAGGGATGAGGAAGCTGCAGAAGAAAGGCTTGAAGTTAGCAGAGGTTGATTCATGAGGTTTACAGAAAGAAGCTATTTCCATAACATTGAAGTGGAAGGTGAAGCAGCAAATGCTGATGTAGAAGCAACGTATCTAGAAAATCTAGCTAAGATAATTAATGAAGGTGGCTAAACTAAAAACAGATTTTCAATGTAGACAAAATAGCCTCCTATTGGAAGAAAATGCCATGTAGTGTTTTCATAGCTAGAGAGAAGTCAATGCCTGGTTTCCAGACTTCAAAGGATAGTTTGACTCTGTTGTTCGGGGCTAATGCAACTGGTGACTTTAAATTGAAGCCAGGTCTCATTTACGATTACAAAAATCCTAGGGCCCTTAAGAATTATGCTAAATCTACTCTGCCTGTGCTCCATAAATGAAATAAAGCATAGATGACAGCACATCTGTTTATAACATAGTTTACCGAATATTTTAAGCCTACTGTTGAGACCTACTGCTCAGAAAAAAAAGATTCCTTTCAAAATATTACTGTTCATTGACAATGCACCTGGTCACCCAAGAGCTTTGATAGATATGGACAGCAAGATTAAAATTATTTTCATGTCTGCTAAAACAACATTCTACAGTCCATGGATCAAGGAGTAATTTTGACTTTCAAGTCTTACTATTTAAGAAATATGTTTTGTAAAGACTATAGCTGCCATAGACGGTAATTACTCTGATGATCTGGGTAAAGTAAATAAAAAACCTGGAAAAGATTCACCATTCTAGATGCTATTAAGAACATTCGTGATTCTTGGGACGAGGTCAAAATATCAACATTAACAGGAGTTTGAGAGAAGTGGATTCCAACCCTCATGAATGACTTTGAGAGGTTTAAGACTTCAGTGGAGAGGTTAACTACAGATGCAGTAGAAATAGCAACAGAAGTAGAAATAGCAAGAAAAGCAGAATTAGAACTGGCCTGAAAATGTGACTGAATTGCTGCAATCTCACAGTAAAACTTTAACGAATGAGGAGTTGCTTCTTATGGATGAGCAAAAAAAGTGGTTTCCTGAGATGGAATCTACTCCTGATGAAGATGCTGTGAAGATTGTTGAAATGACAGAAAAGGAATTAGAATATTACATACACTTAATTAATAAGGCAGCAAACTTCACTGTCTTATTTTAAGAAATTGTCACAGCCACCCCAACCTTCAGTAACCCGATCAGTCAACAGCCATCAACAAAGAGGCAAGAACCCCCTCACCAGCAAAAGGATTACAACTCATTGAAGGCTCAGATAACAGCACTTTTTAGCAATAAATTACTTTTTAATTAAGGCATGTACATTTTTAAAGACATACTGCTATTGCACACTTAACAGACTACAGTAGTGTAAACATAACTTTTATATGCACTGGGAAACCAATAATTTCATGTGACTCGCTTTACTGCAAAATTTGCTTTGTATTGATGGTCTGGAACCAAACCCGCAATATCTCTGAGGTATGCCTGTAAGTAAAAATATTTATATTCAGAAACTTCCAGGCAGAAATGTCTTCGTATTAGTCTTCAAAGAGAAGGACAATTACATAGGCAAGTATTGTAAATTAAAGTAGGTGGTATCCAGATAAAGAGTTAACAAGAGTAGATCACAAAAGAGTAATTTCCATTTATCTAAGTTATGACCTGAGATGTAGATAAATGTGGCATGTCAACTATCTACTGTTTCATAATAAACTACTACGAAAAAACACGTTTCCTGATGATTTTATGGATCAGCAATTTGGGCTGGAGGCAGTCAGGCGGTTCTTCTGCTCTTCTTGCCTGGGGTCACTGATGACGCTGTGGTCTCCTGGTGCACAGGAGGGGGGCATCTTTGAGGCACCATTTTTCTACCACACCTACCATGTGCCTGTGAACTCAAAAACGGAAAATTACGCCATTCAATATATTCTACAGATCTCATTCTTCCCTTTGATTGTTTGCACCACCTACCTCGTACGAGGACTTTCTAACGTGTGATCAGTCCCTCGACCGCAGAATTAGTTGTTTGAACAGCAATTTGCTGCTATAAACAATCACAAACGCACATCCGCCCCCATTTTTGTTATTACTGTTACTGCTTTGGTAAGGAATTACAAGAAAATGAAAGCAGCTTTCCCTTAATAGCCACAATAACAACTAGGCTCACCAGCATTGCCACTCATAACGGGGGCAGTAGCAGTAAGACCTCGAGGCAGCGCTGGGCAACTGAGGGCCCGGACTATTACTCCCTGGAGGACCATTACTTTCTTCACGTGGTCCCTCCCACAGGAGAAGGGCAGGCCTAGCCTCCAGCTCCCCGCCACCCGGAGCGGGCAGGGCCGGTGGAGTCCCTCCAGGCGGTCCCGGCCCCCCGCGCTCTATGACGCCCGCCGCCCGGAGCGGCACAGCGTGGGCACCTGGCCCCTGCCCAGTTCCCGCGACGCTCGCGAGTCTGCTCCGGCAACTTCCTTTCCCTCTCCGCTCTCTCCGCCTCCGGAAGCCGAGCGGCGCTGCTGGGAGCCCCGGGGAGGGGCCGCGGGAGCGCGCTGGCGCGTGCGCGCGAGCTCAAAACGCCGCGGGGGGCGCGCGCGTGGCGGCGGTAGCGGCCACAGCACCCAGGTGAGCGGCGCGCGAGCGACACCCCCTCTTCCAGCGCCCGTCACTCTCCTCACGGTTCGGGATCCGTTTCCCCTCTCTGGAGCCGGGGCAGCGGCGAACACTCTGGGTTGGTATAGGGAAGCTCGCGCGGGAAAGGAGGAGGCGGGCCGGCCGGGATCCCCGGCCCTTTGCTTCGCCTTGTCTCCGTCCCGGTCAGCCCCTCGGGCGGCGGATCTAAGCACAACAGAGGCGTCCGAACCGGCGGGTCCCTGGGGCCGCCCGAATCCACAAGCCGGCGTCGGTGGGAAGGCCCGGCCGGTCCTCCGGATTCGTGGTGGCGTGGGGGGTCGGGGCGGCTCTAAAAGAAGAAGTGGTCGCGACCGGGATCCGGGCTCAGGTCGCAGCCGCTCACCTTCGTGGACTTGAACCTGAACCCCGAGGCGTGAAGAGGTGTCAGTTATCTTCCGCTACCTCGGCTGGGCCCGGAGGGGGTGGTGGACCAAGCCTCGAATTACTGAAAAACAGATGTATACTTTGGGCCTAGATTTTCGTGTACCCCCATCGGTTACCTTCTTTGGACCATCTTATTATATACTATATAACTACAGAAACGTAGTGTCCCAGTAACAAAATGAATTTCAGAATTTTAGATTTTCATTTGTGTGTTTACCAGATGTATCATGAAAGCGTTAGCATTTCTATTGTTAGCTCTGCAGAAGCTATACTAACAGTGAGTGTCCCGGTGATTCCCGGGCAGCTTTGGCAGACACCTGTCTTCATCGTTAAGGTCTGATGAACTGTCATTTCATTTTTACCGGTCCCCAATATGTTGCAAAGAGAATTGACTATCTTAAGTCCACATTTTTTGTTATTCTCTAATGTAAATGGAATCTCTCTAACTTTGAAGTAAATGTTATCAAAAGGATTGCTTAGTGGATGGGATTGTTAGATAATTTTTGTGTAAATAAGCTGAGCGTTTAAATCCTTAAAACAACCGTATCTGTTGGATATTGTGAACCTAAATTTAACCTGTAAAGTTACCCAGGCACTGTGCTGGGTACCACCTATCATGAACTGACCACCTAGGGAGGCAGATGCTTACAACTATTTGGGACTACATGAGCCACGGAAATGAAATGCAGATAAGGGGATAGTAAGGTGTGTGTGTGTGTGTGTGTGTGTGTGTGTGTGTGTGTGTGTGTGTGTGTGTGTG